GCACAGAGCTAAGAAGGGCGGGGCCTGGGTGAGAGTCCAGCTCATGTGACTCAGTTGGTCTTCATTCTTCTCAGCGCTGTGCCGTTCCAGTCTGTCTACCCACAGCAGCCCACCCTCAGTCTGCCTCCTGCCCTCCCTCCCGTTCCCTTTCCCATCCCGGACTTGAATATGAAATTTGAGATTTCAGGTCCAAGTGCAACAGAAAACATCATGGCTAGAAAGCCCAAGAGCCTTTTTGCATTTTGCATGTATCTTATTGGGAGAAGTAGAGCCTTTTAATATTTACGAGGCCTGGGCTTGGTAGACTGGGGGGAGATGACTCACCTATACATTATGAAATCCAGGAAATATACCACAATATAAATACCTCACCTTTCTCCCTCTGCCATTCATCATGGTCCAGCGGTCACAGGAAAGCAACTGGAGGGGAGGGATTCGTCCCCTGGATGCGTGGAACGCTCATACACTTCTTCCTAACCGTATGAAAAAACAAAATCCTTCACAACTGGAAAGGCGTATTCTCCAGGCATATTCAGGGTAAGCATTTGGCTTAGGCCTATCAGCAACTTGCAAAGTGACGTGAAAGGCACGAACGCTCACAGATCGTGCAGATGACCAAAGCCGGGAGGCATGACTCATCGCCGTGTGCGGTTCCAGGGAGGTGAAGCGGCAACGTCAGGAAGGGAGGCCGCATCTTGGGCAGCTTCTGCGTCCCTGCGGACAGCCCATCCAACACCCGCGGCTCTCGGCCCGTGCACTGCTCATTCCCAAGGAGTTTTATCTTCTTCGGTATAACGGCCACATGCCGGACCCCGCTCCTACTCAGGACTGCTCCCCCCGGCTGCTTCCAGCACCACACTCGCTGGGCACAGCCTTCTATCATTCCGCCTGTGACTTCTGACTCTGCCCCACCTGTCTGGACCCGTCCTCCCCGTGTCCCTGCGCACTTCTGCTGCACGAGTGAGTGGTGCGGCCACTTCCCACCTCGCTCCAGGTGGGGAACCTGGGCACGCCCCTGCTCCCCTCTCACTACTCCAGACTTGCGGACTGCAGGGGCCCAGAATACGCCACCTCGAAACATGCCAGTTTGTCATAAGGATTGTCGTGAGCTGAAGGCAAGTGAGAAGCAGCCAATGCAGAAAGGGCTCTTTGCCTTCCTCCCGACAGCCTGAGAGCAGGACATAAGTTTCCTTCTATGAAAATGTTTTCCCTCTCTTCTCCTGCACCAAGAGGAGAACAACCCTTTTCCCTGGGAGACAGAAAATCAGCACTGAGATGGATCTGCACGAACAAACCTTACTAAAATAAGCCCGGTCATTACTTTCCCCCATACATTTACCTGCCAGCAGTCTATCACCCCTAGAAGCCCAAACCCCTTTTCCATTGCCTTGTCACGTCTCTACAAATTTATCGCCCTTTGTTAAAATGGTGTATAAGCCCCTGGGCCTAACTGCCTCCTTGGGTCTTTTTTTCTTTTCTTTGAGGACTTTTGTACATAAAACAATTACAATATTAACATCAAATAAAATTTGTAACTAGGCATGGTGGCATGAGTCTGTAGTCCCAGCTACTTGGGAGGCTGAGGTGGGAGGATGGCTGGAGCCCAGGAGCTAGAGGGAAGCCTGGGCAATGTAGCAAGACCCTGTCTCTTTAAAAATAAAAAAAGTATGCCTTTTTTTGTTGTTAATTTTTCTTTTGTCAGTTTAATTCATAGGCCCCAGTCGCTTAAGAGGGTAGAGGAAAGTTTTTTCCTTCCTTACTAATATGAAGTTTGAATTTAAGAGGTGCATCACTGTGGCCTCTTTCTGCATTGTCACATGGTGTTCTTCCTGTGTATGTGTCTGTGCCCAAATTTCCCCCTTCTTATAAGGATACGAGTCATATTGGATTTAGGGCGGCCCACACACAGCAGCTCACCCTAATCCAGTATGAATGCAACTTAACTGCACCTGCAAAGGCCATGTTTCCAGATAAGGCCACAGTCATAGGTATGGGAGTTTGGAGGGACTCAATTGAATGCACATCACCAACAAATTACCTGCTTGGAAAGCTCCCTCTCAGAGTGTTTTCTGGGGAATCTGACCTGTGGCACTACTCAAACCCTTGTTCTCCCGTGTTTCTGGATTCTAGACCCATAGCCATGACTAACCTTTAGCCTTTCCCCTTCTCGTATTGGAGTTCTCTCCCCACCAGCATACCAAAATCTCTTCTTCCCGCCACCATTTTCTTCCTTTGCTCCTTTCACGTATCATATGATAGCTGCTCAGTGTGCTCGCTGGGCTGACAGCATGGCCCAGTATGAATCAGCACTCACAGCACTCTGAGGACGTAGCGTGCAGCTCTTTGGTACTTACGTATTCCCTGATGCATTTATTTACATCCACAGTTACATCTGTCTATTGCAGTGGCATTTGAAAGAGCCCATGCACGCACACACTCTTGAGCAAGGGGTAAGGTGGAGGATAGGAAGGGGAAAAACAGTTTGGAAGTGCCAAAGCAGAGAGGAAACAAAGGATTATTTTAAGGCAATTTAAAGGCCCAAATCTTGGCTGGGTACAGTGGCTCATGCCTGTAATCCTAGCACTCTGTGAGGTCAAGGTGGGAGGATTGCTTGAGCTCAGGAGACCAGCCTGAGCAATTGTGAGACCCCGTCTCTACTAAAATAGAAAAATGAACTCGGTGTGGTGTTGCATGCCTATAGTCCCAACTATTCAGGAGGCTGAGGCAGGAGGATCACTTGATCCTAGGAGTTGGAGGTTGCAGTGAGCTACGATGACAATGACGGCCACTGCACTCTACTCAGGGTGACAGAGTGAAACTATGTCTCAAAAAAAAAAAAAAACAGAAAAAGAAAAAGGAAACTGAACCTCCTTCCTCACTAAAAAAATAAAATAAAATAAAGGCTCAAGTCTTGTTCTTTTTTAATCATGAGAGTAATTCATGTCCATTAAAAGAAATTTGGAAAGTAGGAATAGACAAAATTATTCTACCCCCAAAGATAATCAATTTAAACATTCCTATGTGTCCTTTTTTAATGTTTTATTTCTATAAAGCCAAGATCATTATTTTTATATTCTGCCTGTTTTCATTTAGCACTATCTCAAAAGTCTCAATCACTTTGACTATATAATCCCCAACAAATGGATATGCTGCAATTTATATAACCATTCACCAGTTGTAGAACATTTAGGTTGTTTCTGTTGTTTTCACTATTATTAATGACCTTGTTGTGAATATCAGTGTGCCTGAAAGTATTTGTTCTACATTGAGAATTTTATTAAGATTAATGCCCACAAAAGACAGCGGAGTAGCAGCACGAAGAGTATTGGGTCTCTGGGCCGACTTCGGTTCCTGTCTCTGCCGCAGCAATGATCGCTTAGGGAGGAACGCCTGGGGTAGTTGGCCAAGATGCTGAATACTAAAATCGTCAGCGGCAGCTCCCACCAGGATTTGTCCCAGAAGATTACTGACTGCCTCAGCCTGGAGCTGGGCGAGGTAGTGACTGAGAAATTCAGCAACCAGGAGACCTGTGTGGAAATTTTATATGGAGAGGATGTCTACATTGTTCAGAGTGGTTGTGGTGAAATCAATGACAATTTAATGGAGCTTTTGATCATGATTAATGCCTGCAAGATTGTTCAGCCAGCCGGGTCACTGCAGTCTTCCCATGCTTCCTGTATGCCAGGCAGATTAGGAAGGATAAGGGCTGGGCTCCAATTTCAGCCAAACTTGTTGCAAATAAGCTGTCTGTAGCAGTTGCAGATCATATTATCGCCATGGACCTGCATGCTTCTCAAATGCAGGGCTTTTTTGATATCCGGTCGACAATGTGTATGCAGAGGCAGCTGTCCTGGAGTGGATAAGGGAGAACCTCTCTGAGTGGAGGAACTGCACTGTTGTCTCGCCGGATGCTGGTGGAGCTAAGAGAGTAACCTCCGCTGCCGACCGGCTGAATGTAGACTTTGCCTTGATTCACAAAGAACGGAAGAAGGCCAGTGAAGTGGACCGCATGGTGCTAGTGGGAAATGTGAAGGATCGAGTGGCCGTCCTTGTTGATGACATTGCTGATGCTTGTGGCACAATCTGCCATGCAGCTGACAAACGTCTCTCAGCTGGAGCCACCACAGTTTATGCTATCTTGACTCATGGAATCTTTGCTGGTCCAGCCATTTCTCGCATCAAACAACGCATGCTTTGAAGCGGTAGTAGTCACTAATACCATACCTCAGGAGGACAAGATGAAGCATTGCTCCAAAATACAGGTGACTGACATCTCCATGATCCTTGCAGAAGCCATCAGTAGAACTCACAATGGGGAATTTGTTTCTTACCTGTTCAGCCATGTCCCTTTAAAATAGAATAAGAGGGAGGCCAACGTGGTCAGGAGTTCAAAACCAGCCTGAGCAAGAGTCAGACCCTGTCTCTACTAAAAATAGAAAAAAATTAATTGGCCAACTAAAAATATATAGAAACAAATAGCCAGGCCTGGTGGTGCAAGCCTGTAGTCCCAGCTACTCTGGAGGCTGAGGCAGAAGGATTGCCTGAGCCCAGGAATTTGAGGTTGCTGTGAGCTAGGCTGACGCCCCAGCACTCTAGCCTGGGCCAAAAAAAAAAAAAGAATAACTTCTGAAGCTTTTTAAAAATAAAATCAACTCTGCCCCCCGCCACTGCCCCAGTTTTCCTTGGTATTTGATGACAAGCTCCGCAGAAGACCCAACTTATTCCAGTGTAGCTTTCTATATCCCACATCAACTATTAGAGTTTATCCCAAATGGGGAAAGACAGATTGAGATTAACTGCTAGGATTCCTACCTGCATTGTTTTATTCTGGCTTCCTGGATGATTTTGTGAGCCTTGAAGCTTTAACTATAGCTCAGCTGCTGAAAGATTTTAGACTTTTGAAGGTGTTGTGTAGAGGTGTTTGACTGTGTTTGAGGAAGCTCAGACTTTGCATATGAATGCTTCAGGGTTTTCCTTGTTCAGAACAACTAGCAACAGAGACAACCCATGTGAGACAAGGTCTCCAAGATCTATGCTAAATTTCAGCAAGAGTTCTGGGCTGCCTTAAACCTAGTCCTGGTAGCTGAGCACCCAATAAGGCAGGAGCAGGCAGCTCAGCTTGAACAGCCATTTGGTGGAGTTGGGGGATGGGGGATGGGGAGGTGGGAGGGGCATGGGGGGCAACACTTGGTGCAGCAAATGTTTCTTGGGAGAAAGAAGCCTGATCCATCATCATCTGCTTGACTCTGTAACTCTGATTCTTTGTACCTATTCCTTTCCATTGGCTTACCTTCATCCATCTCCACCTTTTCCTGGCCAAATATCCTCTTGGGCTCAAATGATCATTGTACCATAGTCTTCTGGAAAGCAAACTTGCTTCCTGCTATGTAATTGCTAACATTCACATTAGATGATTTGCTGTAGCTTAATCTTCCTTAGCCTACCACCACTGCAGCAGTAGCTTTTAGGTAATAATAGTAGTGCCTTTGGATTCATTTAGGTATTTAATTTTCATCTTCCTTCCTTGGATCTGTTTAGCCTCTCAAATGACCTGAGATTTCTGTTCTAAAAGATTGATGTTATTGTCTCTTGTAGAGGAAACTAATAAAGTATATGTGTGTGGGAAAAAAAAAGATTAATGCCCATATACACAAAATGTTAATGCCCACAAGTGTTAAAGGATATGAATTTTTTTTCAAAATAGTATTTTTTCTCATTATAAAATAGTACATGATCATTGAGCATTTTTTGGAGGTAGGAGATAGACTTTCTTTTTATTCTCAGAAGCTGCCAAGTTTTTCCCTGCCTCAGGACCTTTGCACTAACTGCGTCCTCTGCTAGGAATGCTCTCTCCATGAGTTTCCCATGGCTGGATCCTTCAATCTTTTGGGCTTAGCTGTCTCCTCTTCAGAGAGGTCTTCCCTGGCCTCAAATCCAGACACAACTCAATTCTATCAAATTACTCTATTTAAAATTTCTTATAATGATCGGCATCTGAATTTTTTCTTGTTTAGTTGCCCATTTTCTGTCTTTCCCCAAGCCAGCAGGAACCTGGTCTGTCTTATTTAGTTAGCATCGCGGCCCCAACACCTGGCGCAGCACCTGGCATGTAGTGCATGCTTCACAATGTCTGCAGGACGAACGATCTGTGGGTTCCAGGTCCACAGGCTACTCACCAGGGCTTCTTCCTCCCTCCTTCCTTCTCAGTGGAATGGGAAGCTCTACTGGTGTCCAGGAAGTGAGTCTTACCTCTCCTTTCCCTGCTTCTATGAGTTTGTTTTGGCCACACACAAGCTGACTCACTGTGGCTATAGGATAACAAATAGTGGATTTTCAGAATTTCACCCAATGGGAAAAAATGTAGAATATGAGGAATTGTTCAAGGTATTAAATTGGTGTGAGTTTACTTACATACTCAGCATGTGCTTTCAGATCAATTAAAAGTTCATATGTAATTTAGTTAAAGATTACTTAGCTCCTTCCAGTGAGGTTCGGTGTTGGGGTCATTAATAAATAGGCTTCCTCTTTGTTGAACTGCTCCGGTTGACACCCTTGCAGGCATGCAGAATGACTTTCGGTTAGGTACACTAAGAACACGTTCTGCATCCTGCGGTGACTTTCTATGTTGTATCTGGTCTGTTCAAAGATAAATACTAAATGAGGTAAAGACTCAATTTTAACTACTTAATAAATGTTTAAGCAGTATAATAGCATAACATTTACTCAAAATGTCAAATATTGACTAAAGGTAAAGTAAATATACTTACATTAGCAGTCTAACTGGGCAGTCATAGAATTAAATAAAACAGGTGGTGATTATGGAAAGATTGAAGAGTACATAAGAGACATTTAATAAACCTCCAACCTGAAAATTGACATCCATTAGTTAAAAAAATATGTTTATAGGGGGCTTGATTTCATCCCTAGTTTTCTTTACCAGGAGGACTTCAGGAAGGCTCTAATGAAAAAATAGTGATTTCCTTTTAAAATCCTCCGATAGTATTAGATATGGTAACTCTGTGTGTTCATAGGATTAGGTGACTGTCTTGTACATACATCTAGGATCCCTTAATAAAAACCTTGTTTCCTTATTCAGGGTATTTGGAAGAGTTTAGCACTGGGATTATTTAAAGAAATCACTCAGCCAAACTAAAAATTGACAGTAAATTGGGAAGTCAAATTGACTGCTGCTGTCATCAAAGATGAAGCCTGGCTGATACCTCAGCATTTTGTTTGCCTTGAGATTTCACGAATTACACCCACACTTGACAGAGTATCGCAAACACTGTAAGCATTGAGGAACCCTTGTTTAATGAAGAAATGGTTTTATATGCACTCTGTGTTGATGTCTGGCATATGCAATCATGCCATTTTTTAAGATTTTCATTTTCGTAAGTTATTGCCATCCAAATTCCTCTCTACCAGAGTGACACATTCGGTCTTGAACTCCCGGCCTCCCAAAGTGCTAGGATTACAACAGAGCGGTGCATTTGGTCATATAGGTCTACTTCCTGGTCTTTGGGCACCACACACTCCTGCCCTCTGCCCCTCCGCTCATGCCAGACCCTCCTCCTACAGCGTTCTCCTCTCTGTTCCCCCCAATCTTATCCGCCTTTCGAGATAGCAGGTCCAGCCAGAGATCTTATGAAGCCCTCCTCAGCCCACAGTGATTTATGTCATTTACCCCTACATTTGTTGCTTTTTCATTCCCTTGCTGGCCTCCCTCCACTGATCAGGAGAATCATGTGCCATCAATATGTCAACCCAGATTCCAATCACCCAGCAGCGTCTAAGAAGAGTAGTGATTTCCTAGGGCTGCGGTAACAGCACCACCAAACTGGGGGGCTCACCCGGCACCAATGTATTGTCTCACAGTTCTGCAGGCCGGAAGTCTGGCAGCAAGGTGCTGGCAGGGGAGGTTCCTTCCTCGGGCTGTGAGGAAGCGTCTGTTCCAGGCCTCGCACCTGGCGTCTGGCGCTCTGCTGGCCATCTTTGGCGCTCCTTGTCTTGTGGACGGACGCATCAGCCTGCTCTCTGCCCTCAGCTTCACATGGTGTCTGTGTGCGCATGTTTGTCTCTGGGTCCAAACTCCCCCTTTTATAAAGACATCAGTCATACTGAATTAGGGCCACCCTAATAACCTCATTTGAACTTGATTACCTATTTTCAAATATAGGTCGTGTTTTGAAGTACTGGAGGTTAGGACTTCAACATATCTGTTTGTTAGGGAGACAATTCGACCCCCATGACAGTGGCCCACGTGAGAAGTGGCTCCATCACAAATTTATCCTGGTGCATCCGAGCCTTTGCCCTTGTGGCTTTTGGTTTGGGGAGACCTACAGGTGAAACACTGTAGGTGTCTTTCTCTGTGGCTTCTCAGTACCCGTGGTCTGCGCTTCCCTGACAGGAGTTTCGTGTTTCAGCTGCTTTAGATGATGAAAACCTACAGTCTTAAGGCAACCTTCCTGGGGCCCCAAAAGTGATTCTGTGTTAACATCTTAATTTTATTTGTAAAGATTAACCAATATTGGTTGGTAGGCCATAGACCGTAAAAGCTAAGAATGTGGGCTCTGGAGCCAATAGGTTCAATCCCTGCTCTGCCTCTTACTAGGTATGCAACCTCAGACAGGTTCTTTAATCTCCCTGTGCCTCAGTGTCTCCATTTGCACAATGGAGAGATAATAATAGCCCTAACTTCATATAACCCATGTGAAGGCTGTGCACGGTGGTTCACACCTGTAATCTTAGTGCTCTGGGGGGCTGAGGCTGGAGGACCACTTGAAACCAGGAGTTTGAGGCCAGCCTGGGCAATATAGTGAGACTCCATTTCTACAAAAATTAGCAAAATTATCTGGATGTGGTGGCTGTGCCTGTAGTCCCACCTACCTAGGAGGCTGAGACAGGAGCCTCACTTAAGCCCAGGAGTTTGAGGTTGCAGTGAGCTATGATGACACTGCTGCACTCTAGCCTGGGCAACACAGCGAGACTCTGTCTCAAAATAAAACAAAACAACCCCCCCCCCCCAAAATAAAAAAAAAACCCACAAAAAACTATTTTGAAGATTAAAGATTGAGTACACATAAAGTTCATAGCAGTGTCTGGAACATAGATAGTGTTCAATACATGACAGCTGCTGGTACACTCACTCTCTCTGTGTCTGTGACTGAGCCTAGCACTAGGTCTACAAAGGTGAAGGCACAGTTCCTGTCCTTCCAGAGCTTAAGGTCTAAAAGACCACTCCACTGTTATGTAACGGGAACTGAGTGGTCTGACATGGCTATTTCTGGGATTTACTTGGCCCGTTTTGCAGTTGCCCATGAAGGGAGAGAGCTGCTAAGAGGGAGGGTCTGGGCCAGGGGTCTAGCAAAGTACCTCGGCCAGGATCCTGTCCAGATCCATGAGCCACGGGAACTGAGTCATAATTGCCTGGTAACTGCCCAGCCTCCCCTTGCCTGGGGCAGGGGCTCTGCCAGGCAGTCCCTCCGCTGGTATCAGGGAGGAGTCGCATGGTCAGTGTCTAGTACCTCGCCCATTGCTGCCTGTCTGTGCCCAAGACTCAGTTTGGGGTCTGAGTGATTGCTCTGATTGGCGTCCCTCTCACAGTGTCTACTGGGACACGCTGAAGCTCCCCTAAAGCAGCGAGGGAGCCCTGCACACCAGCAGGGTTCTGCAGGGGTGCTGGTTCTGGTTGCTGATCTGGGCCACTGGGTGGTGACAGCCTTGCTAGGCAGAGCTAGGACAGAGGTGCAGCCTTGGAACAAAGGTGGCCACAGAGGGGCTGTGAGCAAGGCAGCTGAGGGCCCAGGCACAGAAGGCTTCCCAGAGGGACTTGTTGATCTGAGCCTTAAAGAGCGAGGAACATGACAGGCAGATGGACAGTGGGCAGGAGGAGAGGCTCCGGCTTGGGGAACAGCAAGCCTTTCAGTGCAGGTGAAGCTTACAGCAAAGAATGGCCAGAGCTGAGGCTATTAAAGACCCACAGTCTCAGGGGCTGGTGGGCCTTACTCAGAACTCTGTGCTTTGTCTGGTAGTTTTGGGAACTTATTGTAAAAGTTCTGAAGTGGTCAAAAAACCTTTGTAGTTTGGACAGATCACGCAGGCTTCTGGGTATTGGATGGATTGGTGGAAGATGAGGGAAGTGGAGGGGGCAGAAGAGAGAGCCACAACTGGAGGTGACAGACCATGTAGGAGGTCTTTGTAACATCCAGATGTGAAATACACAGAACCTGAGCTCAAGTAGTGTCACCCAGGATTGGAGGGCATAGGACTTATTTAAGAAACATTTAAGGTGTAGCCCTGACAGCACTTAATGAATGACTGGACACAGAAGGAAAAAGAAGACTCTGGTTTGGCTGACAGGGCATGTGGTGATGTCTGTAACCAGGGTAAGATACGTGGGGAAGGGAACCAGTTTGGGGATCAGGGAGAGAGACAAGGACAGGCAAGGACAATGGGTGCTGCATTGGTTGTGTCTCCCTCCAAATTCATATGTTGAAATCCTAACCCCTGTCAGTACTTCCAAATATGATCTCACTTTACTTGAAAATTGGGTCTTTGCAGATGTAATCAAGTTAATGTGAGGTCATTAGGGTGGGCCCTAATTCAGTATGACTGTGCCCTTATAAAAAGAGGAAGTTTGGGCCCAGAGACAGACATGCACACAAGGAGAAAACCGGGTGAAGATGAAGGCAGAGATTGGGGTGAGGCACCCACCAGCCAGAAAACTACCAGAAGCTGGGAGAGAAGTCTGGCATGGATCCTTCCTGCACACCTTCAGAGGAAGCGTGGCCCTGCCAATTCCTTGATTTTGGGAACTGAGTCAATAAATTTCATTGTTCTAAGCCACCAGTTTATGGTGCTGTGTTACTGCATCCCTGGAACACCACAGTGGTCCCCCTTACCTGCAGGGATATGTTCCAAGACCCCAGCAGATGGCTGAAACCTCCGATAGTACTACCCCATATGCACTGTATTTTTTCCTATACATACATACCTATGATAAGGTTTAATTTGTAAATTAGGCACAGTAAGAGATTAACAATAATAACTAATAATAAAATAGAACAATTATAACAATATACTGCAATACAAGTTACACAAATGTGATCTTTCTCTCTCAAAATATCTCTTGTACCATACTCACCCTTCTTCTTGTGATGATGTGAGATGATAAAATGCCCACATGATGAGATGAGTGGGGTGAATGACATAGGCATTGTGACATAGCATTAGGCTGCTATTGACCTTTTGACAAATTGTCACGAGGAGGACCATCTGCTCCAGGTGGTCCTGGATCATTGAATCAGGATGTTCCTGGTCCTGGAGCATCAGGAACAGATGATGTTGATGGCTAACTGGTGGTGGACATGCTGGGCATAGGAATGATTCATGTCCCCGGCAGAATACAGCAGGACAGCACAAGATTTCATTGTGCCATTCAGAATGTTGCACAGTTATTTATGGATTATTTATTTCTGGAATTTTCCTTTTAATATTTTTTGGACATGCAGTTGATGACAGGTAACTGAAACCTCAGAAAGCAAAACCACAGGTAAGGGGGAGCTGCTGTGATACAGTGCCCAGCGTGCCTCCACCTGGACGTGTGCAGGAGCTGGCTGATGTACCCACCCGGAGTTCAGGAGGCAGCGCTAGGCCAGCGGTGGCGCCATCCATCCATAGACAGTGTGGTGGACACATGTCAATGTCATTTCTATCTGACCATCATCCTTTCTTGTCCACCACTCCACATGGTCTCAGTGGGACTAACAGTCAGGGTGCCTTCTTCTCCAGCTCGTAGGCAGAATCTATCTGTACGAGGAAAAGAGTTGAGCAAACAGTGAGAAAACAAAGCAAGCAGAGACAACAGATAGAGATAAAATGTCCTGGCATTGTTGTATCCTGTGCCCCCTATCCCTGGGGCACAAGTTCTTACAGAGCTTCTAGGAATTCAGTGAGCTACACAGCCAGTGTGCTTCCTAGCTTCGGGAGGCAATAGAGTCTTCATTTGCTTCTGAGAATTTGAGTCATCACCTGCCTTCAAAGGAACTAAGTGTTAATCGAAACCGTGAGAGTGGATGAAGAAGTGTATGTAGAAAGAGAAGACAATAGGGTGAGGACAGAACATGGAGAACCCCAAGGGGGAGGAGGAAACATAAGAGAGGTGGGGCTACCCAGATAAGGGGGAAGAATGATTCATGATTCTAGAAGGCAATATGAAAAAAGAAAAAGAAATATTATGCATAGAAGAACTTGAATCAAGCAAAGGGTAAAAACACAGCCATTGCATCCGTTCTCAGGAAAGCTGCATTAGTTATCCATTACTGTATAAATAATTACCCCAAAACATAGCCGCTTAACAAACATTTATTATTTCACACAGTTCCTGATGGCCAGGATTCAGAAGCAGCTTAGCCGGGCAGTTCTGGCTCAGGATCTCTCTTGAGGTTGTGGTCAGATTGTCAGCCAGGGCTGCCGTCTCTGAAGGTTTGGTCTGGCTGGAAGATCCACTTCTGAGATGGCTCACTCACATAGCTGGTGGCCGGAGGCTTCAGGTCCTCCCTTCGGGCCTCTCCAAGGCTACTCCAAGCTCCGTAAGTCATGACTTTGTCCATACGAGTGATCCATCGTAGAACTGTAGTCTTTTTATAACCTTGATCCATCATAGAACTGTAGTCTTTTTATAACCTAACTCTGCAAGGGATAACCCATCACCTGCGCCAGGTTCTATTCACTAGAAGCCAGTCACTAAGTACAGTACTCACTCAAAGGGAAGGGAATTACACTCCACCTTTTTAGAGAAGTATCAAAGAATTTGTGGGTATATATTCAAAACTACTTCAAAAGCCGTGGGTGATTTCTGCCAGAGCCACGCTGGGGAAGTAGACAGAGTGACAACCTGACTGTGTGGCCTCCCAAGAGAGGTAGAAGCAAGGGTATGCCACTCTTTCTAGAAACTCGACTCTTAAGAAAGAGAGATATAACTTTATTATTGGAGGAAGAAGAGTAGAGAAAGGATTTTTAAACTTCCTATAATTTTCATTTGTTAACATAGGGTCTGTATCTTTATATATTTATAGTCCCCCAAATATTGACAGGTTGAATCCAATATGGGTTTGGAATTGGGGATGCACTTTTCCAGGAAGATGCCTTCCACAGGAAACGGGACACCCCACAAAAACCTATTTAACCCACATTGTACCTATAGTCCAAGATGGTGCCAGGGCTACTGTAGAACCCACCACAGTGCGGAGCTCACTGTTGTGTCGCATCTGTTACCAGCTGAGACCTGTTACCTATTTCTGCGTGGATCCCTGAAGGTATCATTATGGGGAATGCCAAATACAAGCAGAACCCTTTACAGGTAGACCCATTCATGGAGTAGACCTCAGCGCTGCACAGAGTCTGCCAACATCTTTTGGAGGGAAGATGTCCTCTCAGCAGTGCAGCTTGCTCGGGCCACGTCTCCATCCCCCAGGCTCAAGTGTCGCTTCCCAGGGCTTGGGTCCCTGGTGGGATGGTGCCTTCACAACAAGGAAGGGGAATGAAGGTACAACATGAGAAGAAGGCAAGGGGATGAGGGAAGCAGGATTTATATCATTTGACAATTTTATGTGCCTGGCACTTTGATTCTTACAATAATTCAGATAATTATTTTACCATTCTTAAAAATGAAGAAACTGAGGCCTAGCTGTAAAATATTGGCTGATAGAGCCATTTACCAAAATAAGAATAAATTATAATGAAAGAATCACAGTTAGTGGCGTGAGGGAGCCGGCTCAATATGGATCATGAGAACTGATTGTAACATCAGTTCCCAACTCTGCATCTGATGACATCATATTGGCGGCTTGAAATTGGCTATACTGAGCGTATTTACACCATGGAAATCAGCCTGTTACAGATGCTATTTCTCCACAGAGCTGGTTGCTAAACATTTAACAGCACACTACTGGCTGCAATCCAAATGTGGGGTGAGATGTTAATTAAATCTAATTGCTCATTGAAGATATGGTGGCCACCCACTTGGGGACGGTGCAGAATTCCAATGGCGAGGTCAGACAATGATATCTACCTCCCTCTCTGTAACTGCTAGGGGTGTCATTTCCTCTTTCTTCTTACTTCCTGCCCACTTTCCCCACAGGCAGGTCAAGCTTGTGGTGTGAGATGTGTGACTTCCTTAGGGTAAGATTGAGGAAGTGGGCTGTTTGGGAAACAGGCTGGGTGATCTTTAATTTGGAGGAGCTAGATGGGTAGCTTGCTTGGAGACTGAGAACTGTGGTCTCCATTCAAAGACAAGCCAGACATTTGTCCCAGGAAGAGACTAGGCATTAGGAATGAATATGTTCTCCCCATTTGGGGTATAGACCTGCAAGGTTTTTATACTCAATTCTGTTATAAAAAAGAGAAATGTCAGTTTCTCTTCTGCTGGATTCTGGACCCTGAGAAATCTGTTGTTTTCTGGATGGTGGGGAAGTGGATGACAATTAGTTCAGAGTCCTCTGTCCTCACCAGCCCCTCTGCCTTGCCCTTGTCTAATCCTAGGAGTTTAGGTCAGACAGAAATGGCTTCAGGATTTATCTGTCCAGCAGCTCGGAGGGGAGAGCAGTTTGAATTGAGCTAGGAGGAAGCTGTGGGTTTCCATTACAAATAGTTTTGAGGACCTTTGCTTAAGACTTAACCTGCTCTTCAAAGGTTTATTGCACCATATTTATTGTAACTTACTCAGTAGCCTCTCCTTATGGTCATTGTTAACACAAGTGACTTCACTTTCAGAACTTTGTTTTCTATAGGCATATGTGCGATTTATTGCTTTTTAAATGGGAAATTAGAATATACTTTAAAATACCAAGATGAGTTGTGGAAAGATATACAAGAAATTGTCAACAATGAACACTTATGGCAACAATGAACACTTATGGGATATTAGTCTGGAAATCCAGTATATTTTATGTATTTGTATATTTTTCTCTTTTTCTTTTCTTTTCTTTTCTTTTTTTTTTTTTTTGGACAGAGTCTCGCTCTGTGGCCCTGGGTAGAGTGCAGGTGTCATTGTGGCTCACTGCAACCTCAAACTCCTGGGCTCAGGCAATCCTCCTGCCTTACTGAGTAGCTGGGACTACAGACTCATGCCAACATGCCCAGCTAATTTTTTCTAATTTTAGTAGAGACTGGGTCTTGCTCTTGCTCAGGCTGGTCTTGAACTCCTGAGTTCAAACGGCCTCCCAGAGTGCTAGGATTACAAGTGCAAGCGGCCACCCCAGCCTATATATTTGTGTATTTGTAGACTTCCTCAATTTTATCTTTTCCCTTTTCTTTACTTCCTTGGCTATATAGTTGTTTTAATACTGCAGTAAGTATCAGGGAAGCCACCATCTAAAACAAAAGCTAAACTCTTTTTAATAATACCCATTTAATCACATGGTCTCTCATATCTCATCCTGCCTCCGCCTATCACATATCTTCCTTTTGAATTCCATGCTCCTTATTCTTTTGCTTTCCTTTATATCGAGTTTTATTGAATGTAATCCCAACAAGCATATGTTTATGGTAGTTGTTGAAAAGGGGGGAGGTAATATTGTATACAATCTTTTGGCACTTAAGTTTTTAGTTACTATTTCTTTTCTTTTTTTTTTTTTTTGAGACAGAGTCTCACTTTGTTGCCCAGGCTAGAGTGAGTGCCGTGGAGTCAGCCTAGCTCACAGCAACCTCAAACTCCTGGGCTCAAGCAATCCTGCCTCAGCCTCCCGAGTAGCTGAAACTACGGGCATGCACCACCATGCCCGGCTAATTTTTTTCTATATATATTAGTTGGCTAATTAATTTCTTTCTATTTATAGTAGAGACGGGGGTCTCACTCTTGCTCGGGCTGGTTTCAAACTCTTGACCTCGAGCAATCCTCCCACCTCAGCCTCCCAGAATGCTAGGATTACAGGCGTGAGCCACTGCGCCCGGCCACTATTTCTTAAACTGTTGAATTTCAACCAATTGTTTGGTTTATTCATTTTTCCTACTGTCCAGATGTTTTCCCAAGAGTCTTTTGTACATGTTAATAACAACTAGTTTAACTATTAAAAATTAATATAATTATCAAAAGGGATATTATGTGTATTAGCAGATCTAAATATTTTGGAGGGATTATATAATATTTGGGTGAGAACTCATATTG